GACCCGGGCGTGCGCAAGTGTGGCGCGCTCAACCTCGAGCTCGAACCCGCGCCCGCTGACGGCGGCCCCGACGCCGCCGGTGCGCCCCCCGGCCGCCGCGAGATCCGTGCCGCCATGCAGTTTGGCGACACCGAAATTAAGGTCACCGCGGTCGACGTCAGCACCAATCGCTCGGTGCGAGCCTCCATTGACTTTCTTTCCAACTGAAGGCGCCGGGGCGCGCTGCCAGCCAGGCTCTGTCCGGCCCCGCCCACTCTCGGTCGGGGCGCAGGGGACCTGCCAGGGCGTACAAACATCCTAGTTCTGGTATCAGCGCTCCTTACCCCGCCCTACTGCCCGGCGGGGGGTGGGGGGGGATGAGGTCGCAGGAGGGTGGGTGGAGAAACATCCAGAGGCTCTGGCTTTGGGATTAGGCCCAGACTGAAGGGCCCTGCCAAGGACTGGGGTCAAGGAGGCTTGATCGGGACACCCACAGGGAACACGTGACTCCGAAAGCAGAATGCTCCAGATGACTGGATCCTGGCCAGAACTGGGGGTGGGGGGTGGATGCAGTTGGGAGGGAGAGGCCAGGCAAGGCCCATAGCGGAGGGGCAGCAGGAGGAGGGGGCTTGGCTGGGACTGGGCGCAATGCACCGATCGGTGGGCTCAGCCCACACAGGGAGCGGGGCAGAGCAGCCCGGCACCACAGGAAAATGACTGGAAGCTGACACAAGAGGGACAGGGGTAGTAGGGCCTTCCTGGGGTGGTGCTGACCACCCAGGTATGACTGTTAATTGTAGAAAGGGCAGTAGCAGGCTAATGAGAAGCATACAGGGTGAAGGCACTTGTGAGGGAATGTGGGAAGCATGCTGGGGGTGGGCTTTCCTTTGGGACAGATGACGGCTCCAAGGGCAACCTGTGAATGACCCACTTGAACCCTATCCCAGCCACAAAATGGGGGAGGGCCGTTAGGAGGACCAAGGGGACACTAAGGCCTGTCTCAGCTCTGCCAGACAACTCAATGTGCCCTTATGCCCGCCCAGGACATGCAACAGCGCTACCTGCGCGAGGTGACAATAAAGCATTTATGCTGGTACCTCACAAGAGGGAACCCCAGTTATGTAGTAGAGGGGGCCTGTGTTCCAGAAAAAAAAAGAGAAAGCTTTCAGCTGTGCATGGGGCTGGGAACTGACCAGAAAGAGGATGCTGGTGTCTCCTTGTCAAGTATCCCAAACAGAACTCCTCTCTCTGACCCGTGCAGAAGGGCCCTCCACATCCAAACTCTCTTGGCAACTGTTCTCAGGCCTAAAATGCCATCACCTGTAGACAGCTCTTTGGGGACTAGGCACTATAATACCACACAGCCCCTTGCCTCCTAAGAGTAGGCGCTTATCCAGAACTACCTTGGCCCAGAGTCTAAGGGATTGGGCGTTCTCAGGACCCTGAAGAACAAACATTCCACTGGTCTCTGGTATCCACTGAAAGTTTTATTTCTTTAGGATTTCATCCCAACCATTGTTTAAAAACCAAGTGACACACACCTGGGTGCAGGAGCTGGGAACTGCACCTCCCTCCACTCACCATAGACAGCAGTGGGAAAGGGAGGAGGCAGGAGAGGTGGCTTACATGAGACAGCAGCAGCAGTAATGGAAATAACGACATCACAGCCAGCTCCCTCCTCTCCAGGCCCTGGCTGGAGCTCCTATGGCTTGCAAGTGGGGAGAGATCGGTAAAACCCACCCTAGGTCCTCCCCCTCCCCACCCCTCCTCAGATAGCCTCCTTGGGGGCTCAACCCATTTCTTCCCGCAGGAGACTGAGGCACATGGAGAGGAGGAAGTGGGAAGAGGAAGACACAGGAGAGGCAGGGAGGTGGCATGAATGAAGGCAGAGGTGAGGCGTGGGCAAGGCCCCAGCTTAGAGGCTCCTAGACACACCACCCCCATGCCCATCCTAGGGACAGATGAGGAAGCCACACCATCATGCAGCATTTGGGGAGATGAGGTGGAGATTAAGGCTGAGGGGCCCCAGGGTGGGCGGGGGCGTGGGCCTCAGTCGAAGCCGTGCCAGTCGCTGTGTTCCGAGTCGTATTCTAGCTCAGCACCCACGCACTTGACACCGTCCAGCAGCATGGGTGTGCCATGGTGCCGGTCTGCAAGGGAGGCTTCGAGTCAGTAGGCCAGGCTGGACCACTAGCCCCACCCATTCCAAGAGGACCCCTCCACCTTCTCTCTGGGCTCTATTGGGGGAGGCGGGGAACCCCAGCCATGGCAAGGATCCCTTTTTCAGACAGAAGGGAGGCAGAATCCCCTTTTGGCCAAACAGGCGCTTCCCGCCCCTAACCAGATGCACACCCTGCGCTCTCACCCATGACGCGGGCCTGCACCACCACTCGCACACAGGTGCCTGTGCCACCTTCACAGGCTAGCAGCATCTCCTCCTTGAGGACGCCTTCCTTGTGCGCTGTGTACTCACACTTGATGCTGTAACCTGTCCGGGCAATCAGCAACTCCATGGCCTCCAGCCCCTGCCCACCAGCACTCATTGGCTCCCTCCTCCAGAGGAGCAAGGATAGTCTAGGACCTGTGCCCCTGAGGTTGGGGCACAGGTGTGAGAAATTTCTTCAATGAACTCTACATGCCTCAGGCCTGTGGCCACCCCATTAAGGCTCCAAGGGTCAAACTTAGGCTTCCAGGAGGAGGGACTGCTGATTCCCCAAAAAGGCAGGCAGGGAGAGGGAGTGATTGGAAAGTGGGGGTGGATAGGCCAGGACTTGAGCCTTGAGATTAGGTGGCAAGAGGCAAAGGCCTGAGGGAGTGTGCTCAGTCCACTTATGGGTAAGGTCATGAGGAGGTGGGGAGACATGTGACTGAAGCTGGGGCTTCTGCACATAGTGAAACTGATGCCCTAGACCAGGGGTCCTCAAACTTTTTAAACAGGGGGCCAGTTCCTGTCCCTCAGACCGTTGGAGGGCCAGACTATAGTTTATAAAAAAAACTATGAACAAATTCCTATGCACATATCTTGAAGTAAAAAAACAAAACGGGAACAAATACAATATTTGTATTTGCATGTGGCCCGCGGGCTGTAGTTTGAGGACCCCTGCCCTAGCCTATGGAGGGAGTGGGGGCTGAAGCTAGCAGGGTGGGGAGAGGCAGCCCCCAGCCCAAAGCCCAGGTGGGGCTAGGAGGGAGCCTTGAAGTTCCTAAGGCTCCAGCAGGTTGCTCTTGAGGGACATGAGGGAGGGGGGTCTGAAGGTCCAGAACCAGTTCTTCAGTGGCTCCCATCATCCCACTGAGTGAACCATCAGGCAGTGGGGCAGACATAGGCCAACAGTGTGAGCCCATGGGCTTCTGTCCAGGGAGTGAGGCCTGGGGCAAGGGACCTGCCAAGTTGCCACACTGTGAGCCCATATAGAAGGCGCCATGTTCCCAGCTGCTGAGTTGCCTGTCCCCACTACGTGGGGGGAAAGAGCATCCCATGCTCTCACTCCCATTCACACCCAGGCCCTGCTGGAGGAAGGCAAGCCTCCAGCACCCTGAGCAGAGGACGCACCTTCTGGGACAGGCATGATGCTGAGGAGCTTGAGGTGCAGGCTGGGGACAGGTGCCTCTCGGACGTCCTTGCTCAGCCTTTGCACCGAGGGCAGAGTGAAGGTAATCTCATACCTGTGCAGGATCTTCAGGAAGCCAACCTGCAGCAGGAAGGGTGGAGGAAGGAAGCACCTTCACTTACAGCCTCCCCCAGGGCCCATGCCATCTATGATCCTGTGGGCCTTTGCACCTGTTTCCTTGGGGATCCTCGGGGGTTTATCTGCCCCCTCCACTCCAGCTGGTCCACACCCCAAGCCTGGTGACTCCAGGTCTTTCCCCGAGGACCTCACCTCACAACTGGGCCACACACTCCTCAGCATCTGTCTCATGGGCCCCACAGCTCCTCAGTGGCCCATTTTATAGACAAGGAAATGGAAGCTGGGAAATGACAGGCTACAGCTTGGCCACACTTACCATGAGTAGCACAGAGCAAGGTACCAGCCACTGCCCAGAAGGGGCCATCCACCTGCCCCATCACTACTATCGCCTGCCCAGAGCTAACAGCCCTGGGTCAGGGACACTGGTCCTCCAGTCACTCACGTGGAGGCATGGGGCAACATAAATTGCACAGAATGAAGGCTGGCTTAGAATTAGAAACTGACACGAGACCAGCTGTGTCAGTCCGGAGCTGGCCCACAGCCCTGGCACCAGCCATTGAACCCAGGCTCCTGACTGCCTGCTGGCATCTGAACATGGATGCCTGCCTGCCCACTCAAAGGCTCACTGTGTCCAACAGGCCCGACTCAGGGTCCAAGCAATTTCTGTTGTTCATACGGTGCTTGGCAACCAATGCCCTCTGGGATAGACGCCATCCTTGGAAACTCCAGTCGTATGAAGGGTCACAAGCCAAGGTGGCTGCTGAGCAGGCAGGCTGACCGAGTGCCAGTCCAGGAGGCACAGAGGTGCATGCTGTACCCACAGCTCACATGCACACAAACTCTTCTGTTCATGCTTCAGGGGCCAGAGGGCCCTGTCCCTGGGGGCCAGTTGGGGTTGGCTGCATGGAACATTTAGCCTTTCAGTGGGATCAGGCTGATGCCGCTGCATGATAAAGCTCAGTCCGTGTGGCTCCCGCACTCTGCAGGTGGAGGACACACTTCTCAAGAGAGCTTTCTGGCTGGGCCTGCCAGGGATGACCCTGTGATGCAGCCACACCACTTGCAGAATTTTCCAGGGGAAATACTCAAAGATGTGCAAAAAAATACTCATCACTGCCCTCTTTCTAACAGTAAGAAATAGAAACAGCAGTAACACCAGGAATAGGGAGCCAGCTAAATCAATGATGATACATATAATGGAATACAGTTGTAGAATCTCGTGGAAAATGATTTACTGATAGAGACAGGAGACGGTTCACAACAGAAGCAAGCAAAAAAACAGTGTTACACTGTGATACCAGCTTTTTGTTTATGGAAACAAAGCTATAAAAAAAAAAACTAGAATGACACACATCAAAATATTAACCATTGTTATTTCTAGATTCTAAAATTGTGGGTTCTTTTAAATTTCTTTATAGTTTTCTCTATCTTCCAAAGTTTCTGTAATAGACATGAATAGATTTTGCAATGGGGAGTGGGGGAGAGGGGGAGATTTTTTTCAAATCTTCACCCGAGGATATTTTTTCCACTGATTTTCAGGCAGAGTGGAAGGGGGGTAGGAGGGGAGAGAGATAGAGAGAAACATTAATGTGAACCCAAACCAGCCAGGGCTATTTTTTTAAGTTTTATTTCATTCTGTTTATTCCCTTGGGGAAGTTGTCCTAGGAGAAAGAGCAAGGATTGGGCAGAGATGGGTATGAATCTGGGCCCCTCCTCGGGGTGGTCTCGATGGACCAGATGCCCCCCTCCCCTGG